GTATCGCGCCGCATTTTCGGGTCGAATAATAAATTCAAAGCAACGGGCAACGAGCGAGCAGCCCCCGCCCCGCCCCCCCTTGAATTTGCTGAATGCCATGCCCAGGGTTCCACCCATCTGGCCGTATGCGTTGCGAGACCCCCAGGTTGCCGAAGGCCACCACGATTCGGGATATACGTAGGTAAAAAGACTATTGGCTACTTTATCGGGCGGAGGGAGATGTGTGCCAGAGGACGACGACGACACGACAGGTCTTCTCCCCCCTCCTTTTCTCTCCGTCCGTGGCAAATAATTTATAAGAAGATATAAAATATGTCTCTGTCTGCGCGCAATAGTTAAACAAAAATGTTGAGTTATTTTGTTTCTTCTTGGAGCTGGGGGCCGTGAAAAGATTAAACATGCCTCTAAATTTGAAATTGTGTATACAACTGGCCGGGATTTTTTTTTTAAGTGCCTTTGAGACGGCGTGCGCAGGACAGCAAAGAACCTCTCCGCCACTCCGACCCACAAAAAGTAACACACCTGATGGCTCTCTTATGTCGTTCCTCTGTGTGCGGCAGGTGTTGCCTCTTATTTGTCTGTCCCGTTGGTACCGTTGTTACGAGGCCCCAGGAAGAAGCCGACGAAAACACATAAAGCCCGCGTCGCGTTAATTGTCCGGACCGTATACGATATGGTATATTAAAGGTCGTAAAGGTCGCAGGATCACACCTCGCCTGTTGCAATTACCTTAAACTCTTACGCACACTTTGCCTTCGGAAAAAAACGCGAACGGATACGCAAAATGCATACGCGGAGGCACCCCAGCCCCCAGGATTTCGGGTTGATATAGGGCCAGTGATCTCTAGACCGATATAAATTTCATTTCAGTTTGTGTCTATGAGCTGGGATTTCATATCAGGATATAATTCGTTGCTCTTTGTTGCGAGTATTGTATATATAGCTAAAAACATTTTGTATACTTTGACACACGTCCCAGTACTGCGTCGTGCGGTAGCAGGATACGGCCTGTCGGGGTCGGTTAAATTGAGGAACCCAAAACTCTGCGCCTCAGATATACCGTAATGGGCGACTTTCGAGTGTTTCAAATGTGTATAAGTATTCAAAGTTTCAAAACAGTTGAACAAAACAATAACCAGTGTATACCAAAGATACCGAAGACTCCCGGCCAAAATTGACCTACTTTCTCCGTGTCTCAGATGTCTTGTTTTGTTTCTCGTATGACGTAATTTTGGACCTGGAAGTGTCTCTCCAACTTCAAGTACACCTTTTCCTCCGAAGTCATCAGACAGTGACGTGAGACAAAATCAAACGACGATTAGAATGTTAGTTATATCATTTACACTCCATTTCACAAAACGGTTACATTGGCCAATCTTTGAGTTGAACGTACTCCAGAATTTTACATACCTGTTCCCCAGAATTTTTCCAGAATTCCATAAGTTTTAAACTGGAGTGTTGGGCCTTGGGGGGTTTCCCGACATGTCGTTTCAGTAAATTAAAGGGTGTTTCATGTTGTCGTTGCTGTGGACCTTCTTAATACCTTGGAAAATGCCGTTTAATACTTTTTAATAGCCTTAATTTTCGCTAAATTGATTTATCAACTTTTAATACTTTTTAAGACCCCGCGGACACCCTGCAAGAGTATAGAGGGATCACAGCCCTTGTTTGACTTTAATTTTGAAATTCCACATCATAATATCCCGATACTGTCCGAGTGAGACTTTATTTGCTATCATTTTTGAAGAAAACTAAAACAAAAGTCAGAAATGAACATGTTCAAGATGTGAAAAAGAGTGAACCAATGAAGACATAGTGCCCAAGAACACTGATGTTACAGTTAAAACAGTGCCCCTTTGGTCACATATTAAGACGTATTTTACTAAAGGGTTTCAATCATGGATACACTGGAGTATTTTGGTTCAAAAATTGTGTTTGAGGTTCAAACCCCACTGCATGTCGTTGTGTCCCTGGGCAAGACACTTCACCCCAAATTGCTCCTGTGGGGATTGTCCACAGTATCGAGTATGTAAGTCGCTTTGGATAAAAGCGTCTAACAAGTGACATGTGATGTGTTTATTTGTTTGGAGGCAGAGCCATAAAGCCAGCAGAGTGAGAAAGGGGCACTGAATACTGGACCCACCTCTTTGGTGTCTGTGTCTTTTTTCCTCTTCTCTGATGTTCCTTTGACTGGGGCCTGGTGGCCAGGGAGCCCTGGCACCAGCACTTTGCTCTTGTTGTTGACAATAGGGGTCTTCACCTGGAACACAAAACAGAATCTCAGCTTTTCATCTTCAATCACAGGGTTGAAAATAGACCATTAAAAGGTCTGGAGATCATGCCCAGGTTAGCTTGGTCTTCTTGACTCATAATGAAAAGGAAGACTTGATTGTTACCTTGGATACGCTGGTCTCCATGGTAAGGGACAAGCTGGTCTGAACATCCCGGGTCAAACAGATGTGTCTCTCTGCGGTGTTGATCTCCTGGGAGGGCAAAGCATGGCAGGTAAGCAGACAGTTCGACCGGCCAACATTTCTAGGAAGATACCAAAGATGATTTAAAACAAAGTCTCCTGTGTGCTCACCACTCTCTCCATCACCGGCTGCAGGTGGTTCCCGTAGGCCAGCTGCACGGACAGTTTGTCGGCGGTCAGGGCGGCAGCCAGCAGTGGGATTGGCACAGGTGAGTCCTTTGTGTCAGACATCTGAACTGAACACGAGGGCGACAGCGGCTTCTTACAGGGACTGTGGGGACAGACGTTTAACAGGCCTTGAGTGCGGCTAGTATACGATGTTGATTACAATCTGTTCAATTACATTTTGTATTCAGCACATATTTAGAAGTAGAGAGACGTAAATGCTTCCTGATCTGACTCATGTTGGCAGCGTAATGTCCCTGAACAGCCATTAGGGTGCAAACACACCCAATGTGAGCAAGTGAAGATATTCTTTAAAGTGGTTGTGCATCAAAAATATACAGGTTTAAAGCGTTAGACTGCGCCAGCTTGCTTTATTTAAATGTTTGGTTTATAGTATGGACAGAAAAAAAGTTGGTACGAGTAGAATGCAAAATGTCTAAAAAACGAAAAGGTAATTGCTTTCCTAGGGGCTTGAATGTTTCATACAGTTACCTTGCGCTGCCATATGATGCCTAGTTCTGTATACAGTGCTTTAAAGGCTTACCCATTTAAAAAGTGCTCAAACAGATGCAGCTGCCCATCCTTACACACCACTGCCAGCCTCACCGCCTGTGTAGAACAAATAAACAAACATTTGGATAAAGTAAATAGGTTGCTTAACAGGCCATAAATGTGTCTGTATAGCTCCAACATAATTACACCACAGGGAGGAACACTTTAGCAGAGCTTGAAGCAAGAGCATAAATCTCAAGCTCTTTTCAAATAAATGTAATGGTTACAATCCTAGTCTACATGTAGCGCAGCGTTAGTTTTGGCAGCATATATATAACCTGCTCCATCGAAATCAGTCACATTGACCCGAAGACACATTTTGAGTTGTATACACTGTTGGAAAGAGAAGATTCCTAACTTTCTAATGATATCAGGATTGTTTTTGTGCTCCATATATTAAGCGAAATATGTCACATTATATAATGACTGTCACCGAGTCATCATTTTGAGAAAAAGGCCTTCAAAGTTTCCTCTTCTCTGGAATCCATCGATCTGATTATTAGCGGAGCAAATGATCAAAATAGTCCGGATGGAAAATATTTTCGTTTGGAATACTGGTCTGGGGGACGCTTGCGAGTGTGTGTGTGTATTGCGTTTGTTTCCCGGGGAAAACACTCACGAGAAACACCGGCTGTTGTTATGCCTGTTGTGACTTCAAGTCATTCCGTTCTCCGCTTGTAATTATGCCATTACAAGCTTCAAAGTTGTTTTTATCATCTGAATTTGCCGAAACAAGTTTAATATTCTGAAAGTTTAAAAATCAAACAAAACACCCGAACAACTATTTTTTTACACAAATCCACATTTATTTTTTAAATGAGCCGTTGCGACTTCGACTGATTTTGATAGAGCGGGTCACATATAGCCTTATTCTTTAGAAGGCCATGCTTATTAGTTTTAGTCAAATTGTATCATTCAGATTTAGTTCACAACTCTAGTCCAGTTTTAATTGTAGCACTAAACTTTTTTTAACTTTAGTTCCAATGTTTTCTCCCTTAAGTGTAAAATGTGTATTTTTTGGACATACTTAACATATTAGTCAATACCAATTATGTTTTTTAATAGCCAATGTCCAGACTTTATCCTGTCGTCTCATGCAAGGCTTCTTTTCAGAATACATTTTTCCAAATTAATTAAATGTTATTTGTCCACTCTGACCTCTTCCTTGTTGTTGGACTGGACGAGGTCGATGTGTTGCGGCTCGTCCGTCAGTGTGAAGGAAACCACTGAGTTCTTGTCCTTTCCATCTTGCCGTACTTGCCTGAAATGAGACAACTTCCGGTGAGTTCGAGGAAATACACACTGCAAAAGCAGACTACGGCAATATATTTCAAAAGATGTCAGGTGAAACGGCATCACTGAATACAAAATGGAAATAGGGCTATGGGTTTTCTTTGAGTGCTCACCAAACACTGAGCAGCCGTTCGTGTGCAGCACCGGATAGGAAGTAGAGACCGTTGCTGTCTGGAGGTCGTGTGGTGGCAAAACGTAGGGTCGTCACCGCAGAGGAGTGGCCTGTGAACTTCTGCAGAGGGAACAATGGCAGAGCAGGACAATTTCATCACCCCTGCTGAAAATATCAGACCCAAGACCCAATAATTAGTGATTTAGGATTACACATTTCATAACAAAATGGCCGATCACAATGTCCTTCTGTTTTCATTTCCATTTAGTGCAGGGGAAACAAAAGTATATTTAGTTTTAAAATTATGAAGTGCCTTTAAGCCCATCACACTAACTTTGAAACAGCACATTTTTCCAAAGCCTCTTGAGGCACCTAAACAATTTCCCACCTCAGATTTTAAGTACCAACAGCCAGTAGGATTTTCTCATTGTCCCTCATAATCCGTTATTTCCAGTGTTTAAAAATAATAATAATAATAATACATTTAATGGCATATAATTGCCATTCACTACAAGAAATTGTTATGTTATTGGATTAGGCTAGACATTTATAAAGTTAAGGAAAATAAAGATTAACAGATACCATGGATTCCTATTTATAACCATATTGTTTTTACTTTAACTACATTAGGTCGGGATTTTTCAACTGTAAGAGTAACTTCTGAAAGCCCATAATATTTGAGCCAAGTCGAATAAATCAATAACTATGAAGTAGATCAGCTTGCACTCACCCTGTAGATCTCCTTGGTGTCCAAGTCCCACATCTTGATGATCTGACCTGCTGACAGTAGCAGTTTTCCATCAGGGCTCACGCTCAAACTGGTCACTGCTGCACGGTCCGCCTTCCACTTGCTGAGTAAACAAATAAAGACACCATGAGGACTCTTGGTGCCTGTGTTTATTTTTACTCTAACAGCATCTTTAAGGGATTCCATTTCTTTTAATCAACATCACCTGTTTTGAACTCCAGTATCCTCTATTGAGTTTTGTAATCTGTGTTTTTCTTTTTTATATCAAGGTGAATGGACTGAAATCGTACAGCTGCATTCAACAGCATACAATTTACTACTGCACTCCACCTGATTGCAGTAAGAAATGTGGAAAGACACTCCCACCATTCTCCAAAAGCATTTTGAGGACCAAAAATGGGCTGTAGTGAGGATTCATGGTGACATTACGGCTCATGATTTTACCCACTAACTGGGCTGCCACTATATCACAGAGAAAAGGTGTTTATGATGAAATACAGTGATAAACGCATGATGGTGGGGCCTTCAATGTTACGGCTTGTTGGTGTATTTCAGTTTGTGAGTAAAGTGTCAGTTCATTAAAGCAAGTGTTTTGTCCTGTTTGAATGCACACCTTTGTTAGCAACTGCCTTGAATCAGGATAAAAGTAAAAACAACACTCAGTACTTGGTTGGGAATCCTTTTGCACGGATTACTGCATCAATGCGGCGTGGCATGGAGGCAATCAGCCTGTGGCATTGCTGAGGTGTTATGGATGCCCAGGATGCTTCAATAGCGGCCTTTAGCTCATTAGCATTGTTGGGTCTGGTGTCTTTCAGCTTCTTCTTCACAATACCCCACATATTCTCTATGGGGTTCAGGTCAGGGGAATTTGCAGGCCAATCGAGGACAGTAATGCCATGGTCAGTACACCAGTTACTGGTGGTTTTGGCACTGTGGGCAGGTGCCAGATCATGCTGGAAAATGAATTCCTCATCTCCATAGAGCTTTTCAGCAGACGGAAGCATGTAGTGCTCTAAAATCTCTTGGTACACAGCTGGCACTACATGCTTCCGTCTGCTGAAAAGCTCTATGGAGATGAGGAATTCATTTTCCAGCATGATCTGGCACCTGCNGACAGGCTGTCGAGAGAGAGAGAGAGAGAGAGAGAGGAAAAGAGCGCTTCCGCTCATTTCTCCCGTGATACTATCCAAAGTTAATGTAAACTTGAATAATGTACATCATTTGAATGTAATAATTATGTTGGTTGTTGTTTGTGGAAGCTCCAGTGAATGAGCCCCATTAACTGAGTTTTAAATATCACTTTAAATGGAAGATTTAAAGTGATGTTTATATCTTCCGTTTAGGCCTCGCCCACTCGATCGGTATCGGCCGATTCCGGCGATCGGCCCCGAAGTTGGCGATCGGAGCATCCCTACTTATTATAATACTGGAGAAACTGTACCAACACCCAAATCAGGTTAAATCCATAGTTAACTGCAAGCTGGAGTTTATTTTCTAAACAGGTCCCTGGTTCACTTAACCAGAGGAGTAAGCAGCCATAATGCTGCATGCATTGTTCTCACATGCACTTTCCCAGTAAAGTTAAGACTCTACCTCATCTATTAGTTTGGCCGCTAGGACTGGGTGAAGTTCCTCTGTCCTGCCTGCCCTTTGCTGATTAAAGTGACGGGGGTTAACCCGGAGGTTAGCAACAACTTTAGCTCTGGCTAACTTAAGGTGGGCTAAACCTCTAGGGTGGACAATCTATTTCCATTTTATTGACAAGCAATTCCGTTTTCTCAGAAGTGAAACGGTTAACCGGTAAAGATGTGTGATGGTTAAACATGGCACTATTATTTTGTCAATGAGGAAAGGTGTTTGTTCAATCACAGGTATGAATATGTGCTGTCCAAAAAGCCAAATCAGAAGAGGCCAAAACTCCATCCCCTCCGTCCATCATGATGCAGAATGTTTTATGGTCCCTGTCATGGACTTCTTTTGGGCCAGGACTAGTGTTGGACCGGGACCAGTATATCTTATTTTACCACTAGGTGTCACGCTTAACTTAGCAGCCTCATTCTTATCTTCCAGTGTAAAGTGTTTTTTCTGTTTTGTAGTGGTGATCAAAAATGGCAGAAGTCAAAGGTGCAGAGTCCAGAATCTTTAGTTCTCTTTGAGACTAACTTCTAGTCCCCCCTCCCCAAAAAACACATACTTTTTAGTAAAAAAGCATTATAATCGTAATGACATTGTTTTTACTTTTATCCTGATTCAAGGCAGTTGCTAACAAAGGTGTGCATTCAAACAGGACAAAACACTTGCTTTAATGAACTGACACTTTACTCACAAACTGAAATACACCAACAAGCCGTAACA